AAGCATTCTTACTTTACAGCATTTTTTCACACCTGCCTAAAACTTTTGCACAGTATGGTACATTGCTATTTTGTAATGTAAGATTATTTTATAATACAACAAATAAGTTGTTCATTTATAAATTAATGTAATATTTAAAAACACTCTACAGTAATATATTTCATACATGCAGAACTGTGCTATATTTTAGAATCAGGTTTATAATTTCATTTCAGTATATGTTTCTATGTTATTTTTGTGCCATGTATTGTTTTTTTTCAATACTTGTTGCTCATAAATAAGGCCCCTGAGGAAAGACTTTTGTCTGAAACAGACTGGGTTTAACATTGCACATTGCCTTAATGACTACAGTGCTGATTAAGCAAGCATCATGCCTCTTCACATTAGCTTCCAATCAGCAATGTGGTTCTTCCTCAGGCATATACCAATCCTCATCAGTGGACATCCATTCTGTAACTTCAGCAAATAATCTAATGTCCACCTGTGACTATGACAAGGATAGTGACAAAGACAGAAATAGCACCTATGTGCCCTCATTTCATATCAAATGTATTTCTGCTTTAATAGCTAACTTTATATTGCATACATAAATAGAAAGCATTTTAGGTGCTTTTAAGTACATACAGTGGTACTTAAAGGGTTGTAAGCCCTTTCTATGTAGCTTTGGATAATTTCCCTCAATAAATAAATGAACAAGTATAATGTTTTTGACTCATTTGTTTAATTGGGATCTCTTTATCTAGTTTTAGGACTTGTGTGGAGAACAGATCATGTTTAGGTCATATTTATACAGAAATACTGAAATTTCAAGAAGGTTCACAAGCACCACTGTATTTTCCATATAATATCTCATAAACATTACATATTTCTTTGAACACTAGGTAAAACAGACAAATACACAGTTCTATGTAAAAAAAATTATAGCAGTTTGCTAACATTTAAATGTATATGAATACATCTTTTTCAAATCTGTAGTTCTAGTAATTAATAAGGCTTACAAAGAAAAGCAAGTATTTAAAATCACCTTGAAGAGACCCCCCCCCCCAATGAATATTATTATGGAACAGTTCTTAGTAGGGAATTCTAAAATGAAAAGGCTTAGAATGAGATCTGCATAGTTATAGGAATATTTGTATTTCTGTGTAAATATGTGTATGTGTATTTGTGTGCATACAAGCTGATGCATGCATATCCAGAGGAAAATAGTAGACAGGAATCTTTTCTGCATGACTGGGCTGTTCCAACCAGAGTTTATCTTTTATAAGAAAATCTCACAAGTAACAGCATGATATTCCATATACATACAACAGATGATGGAGAGAGGGACGAAATGATAGTCACTCTGCAAGGAGATAGGTACTGTGTGATTACTCTCCCTTAATCTTTTACAAAATACAATAGCTTGTTAAATGCAAGTTTCAGTGTGAGCAAAGGTTACACAAGGCTTTCAAAGTTTTGACGGAGTAGGAATTCAACCTATCTAGTGGGAAATCATTATTGTTGAGGAATTTGGAACTTAGAGAATCATAGGACAATAGTTACTTTTGCCCAGTTTGAGAGACAGAAGCTATTACTTCTTCTCAGTGTTGCAGCTTCCTAAAAAGGGATGTACACCTCATCTTTTACCATTTCAATCTTGTAATGGCTGCAAGTCCCAGAGACTGAGCAGATGCTCTTTGAGGTATCTTGCATATTATAAAAGATGCAGGTGAACATTTTGTGAGAATTTGGGAGAGAAAGTTTGCTTTAAATCCTACTGGACTTTCTGACCAAAATCTCAAGGATAGCTTCTTTCTCACTCTTTTTTTAGTTCCTTTAAAAAAATATCACTCTGCAGATCTCCATCACTCCATGTGCCAATATAATAGGTGCCTATAATACACGGAAACCATAATCAAAACCAGGATAAACATTTGCAGTCCTCCAGATGTAGTAGAATTACAATAGTTAGTATGCCTCGCCACTAACGACGCTAACTGAGAGAAATTATAGTTTAACAACTAGAGATTCCACTTCTGGGGAAGATTTTTTTTTTCTTTCAGGGACAAGATTGAGAGGAAAAGTATCTCCCTCAAGAAATGTGCTTTTTTTGCAAAGATACATGTCAAAAAACCTTTTAAGATCTTCCAGACCTTCTTCAGCATATAAATTTTTGTTGTTAAATATCTGAATAGTCAGTTCCTTTCCTTGAACCTTGTACAGAAACTTATCAAATTAATCAAATCAAATCAAATCAAATCAAATCAAATCAAATCAAATCAAATCAAATCAAATCAAATCAAATCAAATCAAATCAAATCAAATCAAATCAAATCAAATCAAATCAAATCAAATCAAATCAAATCAAATCAAATCAAATCAAATCAAATCAAATCAAATCAAATCAAATCAAATCAAATCAAATCAAATCTTTATTACGGTCAAAGACCAGCACAAGAAACCTATCAATTATTTCTCTTTTCCAAAGTTTATCCTCCTCTCTTCCAAATAATATTAGTATACACTTTCATATAGCCTAACATGTCATGTTTACCACCTCAAGAACCACTCCCAAAATATGAAGAGATTCCAGTCTTTCAATGTGGTGGAGCCTCTCTTGGCTCTGTTAACGGTTGTTTTTATTATGCTTGGCTGCTATGTGTTTTTATTTTTATATTGTGTATGTTACCCTCTTATTGTAAGCTGCCTAGATTCATATATGTGAGATGCGTGGCTATATAAATTAAATTAATTAATTAATTAATAGCAGTTTGAAATTGACAAACAAAACTGCAGCTCTTTAGATGGGTATAATCAAAATAACCAGCTGTGTCAGTACATCCTTTTATTAAATAATAGTAAACTATGTTTTTAATTGAAAAGAAACAGAAAAATTTGGCGAACCACTGTTATTTTAATTTACCCATTTGTGTGCACAAGAGATATTTTTCCACAGGAAGATCCTTTCTTTAAAACCTCTAGAGATATTTCAATTATTTAGAAATCAATCAGATATGTATATAACAAATATTTACATCTCCAAAGCACTGTCACATGAGTTATTTTTGCTGTTTGCTTGCAAAGTATCTTGCAAAATGACTTCATTAGCATATGAATAAAAACGTACAAGAGAACTTTGCTAGATGCAGATCCCCAGTGCAGGTTCCCTCCCGCTCATCTTCAAGTAATTGGATTATATCAGAGTTGAAGACAGAACTTTAAGGACAATGATTTCTGAACCTTATGCAAAAGAGTAAATCAGTCATGCAAAAAAGTAAACTGTGGCTTAAACATGAATACATATAATTACAATAGATAAAGATCTCATGGTGAAAAGTTTCCTTTAAAACACCATTCATTGTTCTCAACTGCAGACACAAATTCATTTAGTTATACACTGCATTCAAGTAATAGGATTCTCTTTCAAATAAATGTTTAGGTCTGTGATGTTAATATTAGCTAAGAAAACAGGAACAGTAAAAACAACCTAGCTTTTTACTGGAAACTAGAGTCACTATAGCTAAAAGATCTATCAGCTATAATATGCTACAGCTGTCACTGAAAGTGAAATCCAGTTTTTCAAGTTAAAAATTTTATAGAATTACCTGTGAAGCATATGCAAAGATATTACAAGCTGAGGTTCGCTAGTAGTCTGGGAACGGATGAGCTTGCTCTTCGTTTGGGCAGCAACTATAGTGCCATCAGACAAAGAAAACCGATACACGGGACTGAATGCTAACCCCTGCCTCAGCACTGTAAGCAAGCAAAAACAAAGACACAGCATCAAGACACACAGCCTGCTACAGGAACCACCACATTAAAGTGGACTCTGTCCATTAATATTATTCCTTATTTTAGAAGGCAAGAAGAAATCTGCAATTTCTTTTGCAAAATCAGCAAGGCAGTATTAAAGTTTTTTCAGGTTAAGACCAAAGAGCAAGTGGAGTAAAGTATTAACTGAAAGAGAAATGATGCCAACATTGGGAAAGCGATGCACCTATATATGAATGGATGGGGTTATGTCACATACAAGAATAAGACCGCAAACTTCTTTCTTCTTAGAAATTGAGTGTTTTTGTTTATATCTGTAAACTGAATCAAGCAAATTTTAGGTTTACTACAGCTTTCATATGTTCCTTTCTCAAAATGACTGGAAAGTGATATTTCTCAGAACAGTTATTGGGGACTCTGGGATATTAAAAAAGTGGGCTTATAAAGGCCATATAGCTCTACAGCTACTGTTACCCACCCCTATTAATTATCCTTACTGTTCCTGAAAACATTTACTACTCAGTTTCCTCATAAAGGAAAGCCACATCATTATTTATTTATTTATTTAAATTTATATAGCCGCCCATCTCACACATGTGACTTTGAGTGGCATACAAAGTTAAAAACACAAAATATACAACAAAATAACCCAAAACTAACCGAATAATTAAAAAAAATAAAACAATAAAAAAACATTAAAACTATAAAAAAACATAATCTGCAGGAGAGCACAATCAATTTCACTAACACTACAGCTATTTTGCAGGCTCCACACCACCATCAGTTCCCCAGGCCAGACGGCAAAGCCATGTTTTCAGGTGCTTCTGAAAGGCCAACTCTGTTTATTTTTACATCTCTATTTATAATTCTGTTAAAGCTATAGTTCTAGAGCAGCTACATTTTCTTCAAAAAGGCACATGTTTTTCTTAAACCTGCATTGTTTAAGATTTATATACTAGAGGGCTAACTCAAACAGCATAATCCAGACAAATTAAACCAGCATTTCTCAACCTTGGGAACTTTAAGATGTGTGGACTTCTACTCCCAGAACTTCCGAGCCACCATGCTGGTTAGGGAATTCT